TGAACTAGAAGCGAAAATAGATACAGTTTATCATAATTCCCTCCATACTTAAGCTATCGTAGTGTAGTTTTGCTTCTGATCAACATTCGCAGTAGGGTATGTATGCAAAAATTTGCAGATCTCCAGCATATATGATAGCTAAGATTCGATGAAGTGAAGACTTTTGTCCACTACTATGCCATCTTTGATCGTATATCAACAATGTCTGTGATGAAGAGGACTGATGTTGCTAAGGTGTTTGTCGTGGTCTGTACGGGAGTCTAAATTTCTCATTCTATCCTTCAATAAAATTCCTTTCAGATAATGTTTCATAGGATGAATTCTTATTTTTAGGAAGCTTTTAAAGCAGTTGAAGATATTCATGCATTCACAACAATTTCGAAAAAAACACCAAGACCACAACAATTAGCATCTTATTATAATAAAGTAGCATTAGTTTTTTGGAAAGCAGGAAATTATGTATTTCATGCAACAACTGTTCTTAAATTATATGTTTTACATAAAGAACAAAAAAAGAATATAACACATGCTGAATTAAGTCGTTTATCAACAAAAGCTTGTAAGTTACATATTTTCTATTGAACATTTTCTTTATTTTAATTCATATATATATATATATATATATTTTTCTTTTTTAGTGTTATCTATACTTTCAATTCCATTACCAACACCACGAACACAAATTGATGAACATTTAGAAACAGATGAAACAATTAATGAAAAACAAAAACGTTTAACAAGTTTATTATCATTACAACAAATTCCAACACGTGCAAGTCTTATACGTGATATGATTAAACAAGGTGTTTTAAATTTTGTTTATCCTGAATTAAAAAATATGTATGAATGGTTAGAAGTTGAATTTAATCCATTAAAATTATCATCAAAAATGGAAGAAAGTATTCAATTTGTTGAAAAACTTGCTCAACCTGAATATTCACAATATATGTCAGCATTACGTGATGTTACTGTTGTTCGTTTACTTCAACAAATTTCACAAGTTTATCAAACAATTGAATTAAAACGTTTTATTGATCTTGCACCACCTATGGATAAACATCGTTTAGAAAAAATTATTGTTAATGCTGCAAAAAATAATGATGTTCAAGTTCGAATTGAACATAAATCAAAAGCATTAACATTTGGTACAGATTTAAGTCTTTCAAGTGGACAATTAACACCGAATGAAACTGGTTTAAAAACAAATATTATTCAAAAAATGCCAAATGAACAAATACGTAATCAACTTATATCAATATCACGTGCACTTTATTCATCTATGGAAATTATTAATGATAAAGCTAATAAAGAACGTAATGATAAATTACGACGAGAAATTGCTCAAACTTATTATCGAGATGAATTAATACAACGTAAAGAAATATTAAAACGACGAGAACTTATTGAACGTTATAAAGAAGAAAAAGAAAAAGAATCAATATCAAAGGTAAGATAAAAAAATAACTTAATCTTATTAAATATAGACATCCAAGAAACGAAAAAATAAAAATTTTTAACAAAATTATTCTTTTATTCTAAAATTAGATCAGACAAGCTGAAATTGTTTCTCGACATCAACAAGATGAACGTGAAAAAGAAGATAAAAGTCGTCGTGAAGCTGATCAAAAACGTCGTCTTGCTGAAGCAGCATTAGAACGTGAAAAAGAAGAACATCGTTTTAATATGAAAATTGCTATTGATAAATTACGTGAATCTGAAATTGGTCGTAAAATAATTGAACTTATTGGTGAAGAAGAATTATATAAATATGATCCTGAATCATTAAATTCTTTACATATTGATGCTGTTATAAAATATAGTCGAGAACAAAAAGAAAAATTAAAAATTCAATATAAAAAAGTTGATTTTCTTATTCGTGCATTACATGAAACAGAAATTCCTTTAATGCAAAAACAAAGTCAAGAAGAAATACAACAACGTTATCATATACAACTTGCTGAACGTGAACGTGCTATTGAACGACGTGAACGTCTTATACGTATGGAAAATGATAAAAAAGATTTTCTTCAATCTATACGTGGACAAAGACATGAAGATTTTGTTTTACAAATGCAAACATTTGAACAACGTTTACATATTGCACGTCAACAACGTTTAGAACAATTACGTCGTGAACATATTGAAAAGAAAAAACAAGATTGGAAAAAACAAAAACAATTAGAAAAACAACAAAAAGAAAATGAAAAACAACAAAAAATACAAGCAGAATTAAGACGTCAAGAAGTTGAACGTTTAGCAAAAATGCGTGCAGAGACTGAAGAAAAAAATAAAAAATTAGATGAACAAGCTAAAAGACAACGTCAACGTGAAGAAGAAGTTGAAAGAAAATTACAAGAAGAACGAGAAGCTTCACGAACTACATCAACTACAAATCGTCGTTCGACTACTAATTATCAAGATAAAGATAAAACCGATAGGTTTGTATTTTATTTAAAATTTTGTAATAGTTTTTTTTAATATTTACAAAATTTTTTTTTTTAAAGTCGACCATGGCGACGTCCACAACGTGATAATGAGGATACTCCATCATCATCATATGCTGATTCGAAAGATAGTTGGCGTAATCGAAATGAAGATCAACGGTAAATATTAGAAATTGTTTTTATTTTTTTATAATATTATATTATCAACTTTAGTCCAAGAGGAGGTAATGATCGACGTTTGGATGAACCATCAATGAATAAAGGAGCATCAAGTGATTCATGGAAATTAAAATCAAGAACTGATCAACAAAATCGTGACGATAGACGAGGATTATCATCATCATCATCATCACAACAACAACAACAATCATCACCATCATCATCAGATCGACGGACAGAACGAAATTCTGAAGCAGGAGGCAAATGGCAAACTGTAGAAAAGAAACGTCCTAATCCGTAAGATTTAAAAAAAAAGTTTTTTCAATCGAATGTGTGATTCTTATTTTTGTGAAACACAATCCAAACGGGATGTTGAAATGTATATAGGATAGAAATTTGCACCCATCATACAGTGGATAGTCAGTCGGTAAAATCAATTTCTGAGATTTGAACTTATTTTGTAGCTTTCATTAAAGCTGCTATATATTTGCATTTAATTGCACCTTGAATTTTCTAATTGCGAGCGACTAGTCGTCCTACAACAGCTACTACAAAGTAAGTAAAATCGATGAACATCACTAATAGGACCGTACAAGTAAAATATGTTTCAAATTGAAGTTCTATTTTCATTAGATATTACACACTTATTTAGTGTTATATGTTTACTATACACTACAGATATTTCACACTTTTTGAGGTTCTTTCTACTCCAATAGGACTAAAAATCTACTCATAACCATATCAAAAAAAAAATAATGACTGATGAATAAGGCAATAGTTTCAATGAATTTTTTCGAGACTTTTTATTTGAATTTGAATTTACTATCAAATAGAGCATATCATCAACTAACTTTAATGAATGCGCAAAGATGCAAATTTAAGCTCTTATTGAGATACGACGTCTCAAATATTAATCTCCGATGCAGATTCATTCAAAGTGACTTGTGTAGTAATTATTTTTCAGATTGATTAAGTTTCCAATAGATAATACAAGTTCAAATATATAGAATGATTTAGTTTTTCAGGTCTTCTATCTTATGATATCAAATTTCTAGTGAATTTTTCAACACAATCTCATAGTTTCTCTCAGATCACGTTGAAAGTTGACTTCGAATTTCAACTTGAAATTTTCCACAAATAATGTTCCTAATGTGACTAGTTCATTGTGAAAGTTTCAGTTTTTGTCGTTGCTTCTATGGTAAGAGAAAAAGAAAATTTTGTGTTTATGTTCATATCTTACGACAGAAGCAACGAAAAAAAAACTAAAACTTTTGAAATAAACTAGTTTCATTAAGAACACTCTCTGTGCAAAGTTTCAAGCCAAAGCTCAAATGCCAACTTTCGACTTGATTAGAGTTTTGTTGAAAAATTCAGCAAAAAAAAAACTCTTTTTCAAAAATCTTACGAGTAAAAGGGGCTAGATAAGCATAGATAATCAGCATCAAGTGCAAACCATATTTACGCAAAATACCAAGCTCTTAGCTACAGCAATTGTAGAGATTGCTACTAGCCTCCTTTTTCTGCCCCCTTCTCCAGGTCACAGATTGCGACAGACTTTGTTGATATGCAATCATAGATTTATGTCTCATTATAATATATGATCTACTTATTGCATTTCTCAAGAGTAATGGTGAAGAAATGTGTTCGAAAATCGATAGAATAAAATAAGTACCCTGTGATCAATAACAGCAACTGCATTGTGTTTAACGTTTTAATCCTACTCGAATTGCACTAACAGTTTTTATCTATTGATTTTGTAAATAGATCACGAACTGATAATGATCGTCCATCATATCAACGTCCAGGTGAATCATCATCATCATCAAGTGGATTTTGGAAACCAAAAGCACGTATGACAGATGAAGCACGAGATAATCCTCGTAGTGGTTCAAATCTATCTGAAAATTCGCGACGACCAGATGAAAGTAGTAGTTGGCGTACACGAGAAAAACAACGTTTAAATAGGTTTGTTTATTTTTGAAAATTATTTAATTTTCTTCAATGATTAATTTTAGTTGGCGTGCCAATGAAAGTGACGATGAAAATGAACGTCCATCATCTGATAATCGTGATGTGGGCGGTAATCGAGAATAACTAGCCTAGTGAAATAACAAGTGATTCCATATTCTCTTCTTTCTTTTTTTTAATTGTTATTGCGTATCATCACTTGTGTGTATTTCGCTAACGATATTCACACAGTTATACGGGTTTTTTTTTGTTGTTGAAGAAAACAGAAGAAAAGAAAAAAAAAAGTAAAATAAAATATCATGCTTTCTTTCTTTAAAAATAATGGTTTTTTTTTTGGTTTGTTTATTGGTCGAAGATAGTTGATATTTGTTTTAGTTTAGAATAATTTCATAGATCAGATAATTTTATTCAACAAAAGATTTGTTCTATATGTCAGATTTATTATATAATCGTTTATTATTAAATTTTATTAATGTTAAAAATCGACTTGAATCTTTATTAAATTTATATTGTATTAATGAATATCGATTAGATATAAAAGAACTTCAAATATCTATAGGATTTGTATCAAATTTAATTGATAAGCTTCAATATGAATTAAAACTAACTGATAATTTGAAACCATTTTCAAATCATTCTTTATGTAATAATAATTGGACATGGAAAAAAATTCAACAATTAGATATGAAAGAACAATGTTTAAATTTAGAATTTCTCGCTTTATTACGTTTACAAACATTAGCTACATGTTTTGATGAATTTGATGAACAAAAGTTTCTTAAACAAACAACAGATTTTAATATCAATAGACAATATCATTCGAATAAAATGATGAAATTTATTGACGAGGTGAATAAATCATTGTTTTTTCAAAGCAAAAAAAAAAGAAGAACGAAGGAAAACATCTCAAGTTTATAGTACCATTTTTATTAGTATTTCATCTATAGACCGAAGACATTGAACTATTATAGAAGGACTAAGAAGAGAGGGCTGCACAAATTTACTCTGATGCAAATATTACTCTCATAAATTCAGAATTTGAGAATTCTTTTCATCAAAGCCGTCCATTCAGTCACAGTCAAGATCTCTTTCAACAACGTTCATAAACCACGAATAGAGATCAACGGGATCAAACTTTTTAGCCCCGAAAACCGAATTTTTTTATTTCTTCCTGGTCTCGATCTCGAAAAGCCCTGATTTTTTTCTCATAAAAAACTGATATCCAATATGCACAGCATTATATTGACGGAGAAATGTAGACAAGTCTTGATTCTCTTCGTTTGTGTATAAAACGAAAGGCTGATTCTAAAGTTGTTAACACGAAAAGAACTCATGGATGCTTATAAAAAAAACGAGATGATTCTATTAAATGTGTGGGTGCCAGTGGGTGCTAGTGAGCATCTCTGTGGGTTTTAGCGTCAATGGGATGTGCGATGGGTCTTCTGTACACCCATATGCACATGTCGTCGACTTACATCCTCTTTTTCTGAGTTTGCTTTCTTTTGTTAGTGAAGCTTTGAATTCTGATGATCAGATATTTTTGTTTTTCTTTGTTCATTTTTTTGCTCTTTAATTAACTGTAAAAATAAATAAGTTTGTGTTATAGAAAAACATAAACCATTTTTCGGAAAATATCCTAAATTCTTGGCTCCCGACTTAACCTCGGCAGGGTCGGAGACCGAAGTCAGAGTGTCCCTGCTGAGTTCTAGCCACGAACTCTAATTAAAATATATCTTCACGCATTGTTGGATGACAAATACAAAATACGCGTAACCAAGCCCTGATATTCCCGCCTTGTGCTATCAATACTGCTATGCAATGTAAAGTACTCTCATTATCCCCTATATGAGATCCTAGAATCTAGAATTTCAGAATTACTACTCTGTATTCTCATCACTATGTATTAGGTGCGGGTGTGAAGGTAGGTGAAGAGAAGACCATCGCCTACACTCATACCCTTTTTCTTTAATTGCAGCTGAATTATTTTTAAAAAAATTGAGCATGACGGAATTTCATCAATAATACAGATGATTTGTGAGCGTATTATCTTGTTTTGTAGACATATAATATTTGTATGAAGATCATATGTTGAAAGAGTACTACATATTCTATTAATTAACATCTGATTGGAGATTTTTTTTTCTACTAATTCACATTTAGTTAAAGATGTATCCCATTACCATCGATTACATAAACTTTCGAGTTGACTATTCTAAAAAAGATTTCAAATGTCTGAAACATTCAAGGTTCTTCAGGAATAGAAACATTCCTATTTCACAAACCATCGATCGTGCTCGTTCCAGTGGTAGATTCAACTTTTTTTTACTCTTGAGTTTGAACTCGTTACTCATTTGTGGGTGACCGATAACTGATCACCACACATAACAAATAGCTTTGAAAATTTTCGTTTTGTTTATCCTCTGTGAATTAATTGAATATTTAGACCAAATCAACAATTGCATGTGATCATATGCATATCAATAAACCATCATCGTCATCATCATCATTTATTCCACAATATGATCTGAACAAAAATCTTCTTGATCTTCCACAAGAAATTCTTCTTCGTATATTTTCTTTTATTTGTCCATGTGAACTTATTAGTAACATAGCTCCGACATGTCGATTATTTGCCAACTTAATTCTTACATGTTTTTATTCTCATCTTGATTTATCACCACTAATATCTATATATGATGTTCCTCGTTTATTTAATCATTTATCATGTCTTCAATCAATAAGATTTATTGATTGGAAGGATAATATAAGTATATTAACGTGGTCTATATGGTTTGATATACTTTCTCGAAAAACATCGAATCTTAAAAAAATACATTTTCGAAATATTTTTATATCTCCAATATTAATTTGTCTTTTAATTGAATATTTTCCTCATTGTTTAGAAACACTTATATTTGATTATCAACAAAATAATTATTGTTATAGAAATTTTGATTTAATTTTATGTTTACTTGGAGATAAAAATATAAAATTAAAAAATTTAACAGCTTCGTATCAATTAGGAATTACAAATTTTGGTATTTTACAACTTGTTAAGAATCTCAATACATTAGTTGAACTTAATTTAGTTAATATTAATACAATTAATGATCAGTAAGAAGATCATTTTTTTGCTTAAAACAGAAAAAAAGATATTTATTTTATTTTCATAGATCGATCAAAGTTTTATGTGATAAACATAATGTTTATTTAGAAATTCTGAGAATTGATGGTGCACAATTAACAGATAAAGCTTTAGATTATATTGCACAATGTCATCGATTACGAAAGATTATGATTGAATTTTGTATAAATATGACCGGTTCGAATTTTTCTATATTTCAAGTAAGATTTTATAATTCAAAAACAATAGAATTATTTAAATTCTTTAAAATTAAATAGAATTTTCCTAAACTGGAAGAATTATATTTATCAGCATTAAATAATATTTCATCGGAATCATTTCAATTATTATTTAATAAAAATTATACTTTTAAATATTTACAATGTTTGAAATTAGATGAATATCATATGATTGATGATAATTGTATTCGATTAATTGTTCAAAGGTAAAAATACCGGATGGGTCATAATGAATTGAACTAATTGTATTTGCAATGTTTCAAATCATTTACTATTCATTCATATTTCAAAAGATAGAGAATTTGAAGCTCTACAAAATTTTGTACTTCATCTTTACAAGAACTATTTCTTTTTAATTTCAAGACAATTACTGTATATCCTTACTGTAGAACTAAAAACAAACAAAAAAAAGTTGGACATCATTATTGAGAAATTCATTCAAACACGTTTATCACCGAGTCAAATCGATAACATATTATATATTCGTTCATACGAGAACAGGCAATAAAAACAAAACTTATCCTTTCTCAATGTCCATCTATTTATATTGATGATATTTTGAATCCTGTATCTTTATGTTTGTATTATTATTATTTTATTCACCTTATGGATGTGAAGGTTTTCTTTTTTTATTGTGTAAATAATATTTGTGTGAACAATGCGTTTATGATATTTGACATCGTACTTCATCTATAGACAAGTTTTTATTCTTGTCAAAAATGCAATGAAAAGATCATTATGTAGGTCGGACGCAGAAGGATCCATTGTCCTACTCGGATGAACTTTTTGATGCTCTGCACCCTGAAAACCAGGATAACTGAGTGATAATGTCATATAGAATGCAGGACACGACGAAGCAAATTATCCTGTGACGTTCTCCGTTAGAGAACGAAACTCTGCATTCTTTTGGTATCCAAAAAACGGATTTTGCAATTGAATTTTGACTCAAAAAAAAAAACTTCATTTTTCAACAAATCACTATGAAGAATATTTTCAACTTTTCAGTAAAACTGTGGATATCCGAAAGTTGATCTACTAAACAGAGGACAAAATTCTCTATTTTTAGATATTAAATTCTTTGCTTTCAAGATCCTTCATACATTTTTCAAAGCACGAGCAACGATGCATCGCAGTGAGCATATATAGGATAAATAAATGTTTGCATTATTATGCAAAGGCAAAATGTTCTTTTTAAAAGTGAAATTCTTTGTTTTATAAAGTTTGAAATTATCTATATTTTAATATATAAATGAATATTTTGTATGAATTTAAATGAAAGAAAAATTACATTTACAATTAGTTTGATTCATTATGGTTCATTCGTTATTTATGTATTCATTTTTTTTTAAATATTTATTTTCTAGTTGTCCTCATTTAATTGATTTGACTTGTTCATTAGCATATAATGTTACTGATGAAGGTTTTAATGAAATTGTTATTCGATGTAATCAACTTCAATACCTAACATTAACAGGGTGTAATCAAATTTATGGTGAAATATTATTTGATGTACCAGAGAAATATTTAAAATCAATAAAATATCTTAATTTTGATAAATGTAATCAAATAGAAGATTTTATTTTAATTGATTTGTTTCAAAGAACAAAATTCATATTGATTATTGATTCCTATGGATCCTTAATTAAGCTTTAGAAACAAAAGTTTTTTTTTTTGTATTTCTATCAATTGTCATTTAATAAATGTTCAGTCATCATTATGAAGGAAAAAAAAAAGTAGCCTTGCCTTAGCTTTTCTAATAATTGCAATTCTAAGGTCATTTGTATATGTAAATGTTCACTAGCGTCACGCACGAGTGATAATTATGTATCGTGCCATATATATCAAAATAGGAAAAATGATACTTATGTTCAATTAATTGAATGTATTCATATACGTAGATATATATTGGAACATGAACTAAATATGAATATGTGGTCTAATGATACTCAATTCAATAGTGATGCAATGTTTATCCAACAAAAAACAATACCGTTATCAAATAAAAATTTACAAGATAATTCTGATAATGATTCTCTTACGGATGTATCAAGTATTATTGAAATAGAATCATCATTTATAAATTATGATCAAGCATCAAAATATAATAATGCATCAATTGAACGTAAACAAACAATACATAGCGACACTACAATACATGATCAATATGCACCTGATGATGAATTATTTCAATCATTAGTTGATTATGCAAATAGTTTTAGTTTAGATGAAACTTTTTATTCAATAGTAGATGTAAAAAAACAGTTAGGTCCTATCAATTCAATTAAACAATCATCAACAAGTCATGTAACATCATTCATTGAAAATGATAGATTAAGACAACATAAAAATTATGAAGATCTAAGACATGACGCTCAATCAAAAATAATAAACCAACTAGATTCAACTAAATCAATACCTTCTCATTTTTTTTCTTTGCAAACAACCAAAGATGATGATGATGATGATGATGATAATAATGATAAACATAGTGATGATAATACAACAGTTACAGATGGATCAAAATTCGATTGGGAATATTGCTCTGATTCAATAGAACATTCAAATAAATCATCAACAAATTTATTTCAAAATTATCAAGTAACAACTAATATTAATGACATAAAATCAAATTATTTACAAGATTTTCAAGAATTATCTTCAGCTAGTTTTGCAAATAATAAATCATGTTCACCAATTATTATTCGTGTGAAAATTAAAAATCCTACTATTCAAAAAAATAAAGACAATCAATTCTTGCGTCCACATACTTCATTACTACAATCGACTCCAATTATCGTTCAAGAAATTTTTCATAAATCTCCATCTAATCGATCAATTTCAAAACATGATTTACAAACATTATCAACTCCTTCCAATGATTTTTATTCACCATCAACATCATTTATCAATCCAAAACGTAAAATAATCGATGAACCAATACCACTAAGACGACATAAACATTATGCTAATGAACAACCAAAAAAGATTATTATTGAATATGATCAAATTAATGTTACTGTTAATAAAAATATCAAACAACGAAAAGAAATAAAACGTGTTAATCCAAATCAATATATTCAACAGTATGGAAATTCATTATGTTCAAATGAAGTCTTTCGAAATCTACTAACAAATATTATATCATAAAACTATTCATCTGATTAAATGACTTTTATATCAAAATAAAAAGACATATTTTTCTTATTATAATTACCTTCAATAAATTATATAAACATATAAATTACATTTATTTTATTAGAAAAATTAGTCAAGAATTACAATTGTTTGTTTCATTTAGTGTTGAAAAAAAAAGTTTAGATCAAAGACAAAAAAATAATCAATACATAATCATATATTAAAGAATAAGAAACATAAATTGACGTTGTTTTTTTATCAATAAGAAAAGACACTTTAAGAATAAAAGTCAACGTGAATTTGATATCAATCTGTCTAAATTTGATTATTTACCAGACGTATCGATTTAAAGCAATAGAGGATATTAGATTTATTGAATCTGATAAATTAAAAAATGCTCAAAAGATAAAATAACAGTTAAAGAATACTTGAAGGAGTCAAACTTGCAGAGAATATACTTACGTCCGCCTATTATTTCGTTGCAGTCAAGATACGAAGTTCATGCACAAATGACATGATCGATTTCCTATTAGAGAACAATCCAACTACTCTTTGTTTAAGTCTTTTCACCTTTCACTACATCTCTTCTTCGACATGAATATGTCCTATATTATGTTTTATTTTACTTTGTTATGTCCTTCAAATCTCGACAGTATTAGAGCATGTCGTCTATTGGTATAATTGTTTAGATTAACCATTGTTTTGTAATTCCCAATATGCATAACGAACTATTTGCCACAAGTCACGACGGAACTGTCCTAGGCAAATGTAATAGGTTATGAAACTTCGTTATCCTGTTGATCCTCATTCTCACACCCAACTTTTCACCTTCCTCTCGATGGTTTCATCATGATTTGAGGCAACTAGTGCTAAAGCCCTCGACACATTAGAAGACCCTCTCGAAAAATCGAGCTTTTAAAAATAATTTCTCCAACGTATTGATTTTATTTTAGTATTTATGCCCATAATAATCTCGAAGTTCACTATAGGCAATCTGTCATTTCCGTCATCATAGCGATGTGTCAGTTTCGAATTGGAAAAATCTTGAGAAACAACTAATAGAAAAGAACAGTCTATTGAAAAATGCATTCTTTTATCGAAAAAATATTTTGGAGTCGCATGAAAGCTTTTTTGCAGTATACCCTACAAAAGTTTCTTAGATTCTGTGTACGAAATAAAAGGTTCCGTGATCATAGAACCTAACTGATGCAGTGCACATTCCCATATATTACACATGAAGCGATCTTTCTAAAATAGGAATATATTCGATACAACTCCGTTGCGTATTAATTAAAAGGCTTCTTCGCCTTTATACATTCTTCGTATAATTCAAAAACGTTTTTATCTCAAAACAGTCCATTCATAATTGAAAAAAAATACCTTCAGATAGACATGGTGAGATTTTTTAAAGAAGTACTTCTTCTAAGCCAGAAAACGCATTTCTTTTCGCAGACAAGATCTATAGATATTTTTCGAAACAGACACAAAAAAAAACAATGAATATGTATTCAACTGTTGGTTTTTTTGCAAACAACCGTATTTATTCAAGTTAGCTGGGGACTAATAGTTATGCTACTGGTACATTTCACTGTGAACGAATTTTGTCTGCACTACTCAAACCTCAACATAAACAATTGACGTAAGTCTTAAGTTTGGTTGACTGTATTATTCTAAGAACACTCTTCATAGCAAGTATTATCTGTCTTTTTTTTGCTGAATATTATCTATTTCTTTCTCAATTTTACACGTGTGGAATAAGTGAACAAAACTCGTTTACTAATAATGTTTTGGACAAAAATGAATTGAAAATAAGAATTGTCGGTGAGACTATCAAAAAATATTACCTATTTTTAGGGACTTAATAAAAGATTCTGGGTCGTCTAATGTGTGTCAAAGGCTTTATTTTATAACAAAAATGAATAAAATCTAATATGAAAACTTTTAAACCATCATTCCGTTATGATAAATCGTTTTCGAAATGGCCAAGTATCAAGACTATAAGTATTATTCGATGGTTGATGGAACTATTATCCATTTGAAAAAAAGAATGGACTCGGTTGTTTGTTGAGTGACTCGGCAACATTGATAACTATCGAGTTCGGATTTTTGCCGTTAGAAAGAGCGTGAGTGGGAGCACAAGTCTACCTAAGAATCAAAAATATTGGAAAAGTTTTCTAGGGAATTCTAGGAATTTTTTGGAAAATCATTATCGATTTGTTTGATTAGCTGTATTTGCAAGTGAAACTGAAAATCCAATATTTCGAGAAAGGAATGTTCATTTTGGCTAAAACTTTTAGGATATTTTATGGAATATTCGAGCTATCTATGGGCAAATCTTCAGGTCAAAATTCCGTAATTTCATTTTCCGATAAATATCTAGGAAAGGGTCAAAAATTCAGTAAAAATAGTCATTATTTTTAAGGAAAGGTCGAAGACACCTAAAAATTTCAGAGTTTATAAAGTAGACACTGGACTGCAATATAGCTATATTGAAATTGAAAATACAGCTAATCAAGTGAATCAGACAGTGATTTTTCAAAAAAATCCCTGGAATCCTCTAGAAAACTTTCTCTGTATTTTGATTCTCAGGTAGACCAGTACCGCCACTCATGCTCTTTCTAACGGCGAAAATTCGAGCTCGATAGCTACCAGTGTTGCCAAGTTCTTCAACACACAACCGAGTCCATTCTTTTTTGAAACGGACAATAGTTTATTTTTTACATAATGTTAGTTTGAATGTGTAGTAGCCTTGTTTATCTCTTCGTTTTTTTTTAAATCTATATTTTAAAAACAATTATTTATTTTATTTTGACGATAGAGTAAGTTTTTATTTTAGCGGCAGATTCTAAACCTCTCGAAGGCACCATCTTGTAAGGAACTACTGATACAAGCACCGATCTAATATAACAAAAATAAATAAGTTTTTGTAAAAGTTTGTTTCTCAACTTTCATCTATATTAATTTGATGAGAGTTTTCTTTATATTGTTTATCTTCACCTGAATATATATCGACAATAAAAATAAAAAATAGAAGCAAAAGAACAAAGACAAAAAAAAACAGAGAAAAGTTTTCATACAAAAATAAACATATGAAATGAAATCAATAAAACAACCACAAAACAAAAATATACTGTCGTTTATTGTTTATTATTTATTATTTTTGAATTTAATGGTATATCAACATCAATCCAATGTAATAAACCTTGATGTGTAGAAACAACAATTGCCATTTTATCTACTGTCCAATGATAATCAAGAAATGATGATGAGATTTTATCAAAAGATTCAACTTGTCTCATCTAAATGATATTTGGTTTTAAATAAATAAAAATTAAATATGAAAAACTTACAGTTAAAAAACGAAAATCATAAATTTTTATTTTTGCCAAACGTGTATCATAAACTGAAATTAAATGATTCGGTGATGCTAAACTACATTTTAATTTTTCTGATTGTCCAACTGTATCTAATATTTCATTTCGAATTGGTTCACTAAATAATTAAAAAAATTTAATTAAATGAAATTCATTATCGATTTACATACCGACTTGCTCGTTTATCCCAAATAAGTATTTGTTGTCGATGTCGACCAATAATAATATCATTTGTTTTCCATGTACAATCAGCTAAATGTTCTTTTCCATTACAATTTAATGTTAATCCAATTGTTTTATGTTCAAAATCAAAAATATTTAATCGATTTTGATGAGCAAGAAGAAGCTAAAAATAAAATCATTATTAAATAAAAATTTTAAAAAAATTAAGATTAACTATTTCATATATACAAGATTAGATTCAATTGGATTCCATTTTAATTGATGAAGAACTCCATGATTAGAAAATGTAAATTGATAAGATAAATTATATTGTGATGCATGATAAATTTTTACTGTTCCATTTAAATGACTAATGGCAATTTGATCAAAGTTTTCATTATAATCAATTGATGATGGTGTTAAACGTATTGTTTCATCAAGCCACTTGAAAGACAAAAGAAATTAAGAAAAAAAAAAACTAAAAATAATAATAGTTGATTTACTTTTAAATTTTGTATAGTAGAATTATCATTTTCATTCTTATAAATTAATGAAGCTTGTTGATTTCGATTTAATGTTGGTAAAGTTGTTAAACCAATTCTAAATGAAATAATAATTAACGGTTGGAAGTAAAATAATCAAAACTAGAAAAATATTTAAAAAAGTAGTTATATCACCAGGATGAGTGTAAGTGAATAGACGATTGGAACTCAGACCCATATCCTGAAAACATTGAGTTTGAATCAAAAGTTTGAGAGTTTTCGAATATACAGGTTCAACATTTCTCTAGGACATCTAGTTTAACAGTTATGAATCAACCTTTTAGATTACTGCATACGTTATATCATCGATTTCTTTTTACATAGAATTAAAGGCGAGATTGCTTTCTACAAAGCTATATAAAAATCAAGAGTTTCAGAACAATCCTTTAGGAGTGACCAAGCTCACATTCCAATGTGTGTTTTCGATATAAACTGAGAAAATTGTCTTAATTGACACAGTGTACCTTACCCGAAATACTCACTATTGTCAAATGACTTACAGCACAACTAATCATCAGTATACCATGTCATAGAGAAATATTGGCTCTTTCACTCGAAATAATTTTCGCTTCTATTTTAGATATGTTTTGACGTGCTGAAGCTCGTCTAAACTTAATTTACAGGTCTCGAGAAAGTCAGTTCCTAAATTTTAAACGAAAACTCCTACAAAAATTTTGAAATCATATTCGGAAAGAGCACAAAATTCTGATTCTCAATCAATGTTTTCAAGTTTGAGCAGGCTCTTTTAAGAGACTGACAAATGAATGAACATTGTGTCAAATTACTTTTTGATAACATGTTAATAAAAAAAACACATATTGTTTTCTATGAATCATACTTAATCTGTTTTCGAGATGGCCGATAGATAGTATTTGAAAGCCAACATAAATGATTTATTTGAAAACCAAGATAATTTGTATCAACTGATTCGCATAAAAGTTCATCATTCTAAATATTTAAATATGAATTAAACATCATGAAAAAAATAAAAACTTTTCTATATGAATTTTCAATGAAAAACAATAGATTTTGTTTATGTTCAAAATAAAAATCTGATCTGTATTTTTAACAATTATTGAATAACATTGTAAATAACAAGAGACATGAATAAAAAAAACAAAAAGTCGAATTGATAACTTACATCGAGATTAATTTGTCCAAACGTAAAACCATCGGATGTATTATAACAAAATAAACGAGAAGCTGAATGAATATTCGAAAGAAAAAATCGACGATAAACCCAATTATTTGTTAGTGTTACATCTGATTCCATTTTAAACTGAGTAAATATCTACAATTTAATATTATTTTTTTTTTTAAATGTTTTCAAATATAAACAAGTGAATAATAAAGAATGATTCTCGGAGTATTTCTCGAATGCTTCAATTAACATGTCATCGATTTAAGCAAATTTTAATTTTTTTAATTTATCTTTCAATTTTCTATACAACGATTTATTTCTATCTGCTCAAGAGTACTATCTCTCTTTTTTTTTTTGACCATTTTTGATTCTCAAAGAGGATACAACCAATCAGATTGAAATTTTTACTACAGATAGAGCTCCAAGAATAAAGAGACACAAATTTGAGGAAAAAAATTGTTACGAGAATTTTAGTGATTTTTCTCGGAAAATTCTGGTTTTCCATGGAATTCCTCTTAAACTTTATCTGATTGGACTGAAAAATGTTTTGACGATACCCAATACTATATCTCAGAGGTATTTTTGAACGTTTTCGAAAATCTGATTTTCTTCGTTTTTTATGAGATAAATACATAAAAGTTTAGAGCCAAAGCTAGGATGCTGACTTTCAGAACCTTATTCAGATAGGAAAATCAGAAACGAAAACGGTCAATTATACCTCTGGGGAGATGCTTTCAAGTATTTGTGGTAAAAATTTCAGCTCGACCAGACAATGTGAGAGGGAAGTCGTAACCAGGTAGGATTGAGAAAACTAGTATTTTGCGTTGCGCTAAGTAAAAGAAAAGAGTTTTTAATATAATTACTATGAAAAAAAAATTTCCTAAATCTAGTAATTCTGTAACAGTAAGCTGTTTGGAGTCGAATGATGTCTTTAATTGCACATGGTGCACTTGAAGCTATCATATCTTCTGTCTGGCTCGAAATCAAGTTCTTGATCAAAAAAGAGGAAACAGAGGGATACCATTAAATATTCATAATAATTGTTTTTACTAGATGAAACAAACATTTGATCTAAGGATCACAATTTTGAAGAAAAAAAAAACAAGTTATTCTTTTATTTGCTTGACTTTATCTTTGAATCATTCAATTAATGCTCAATGTTTTGTTTTAATTTTGCTCTAATGCATGACAAAAAGCAAATCATCTTCTATATAACAAGTTTAAGTAGCTGAGTAGAAATTCAATCATTTTTGAATTCATCATTTATCGATAGAAATCATTGACCTGTCAAAAATTCGATTTAAACTCAAAAGATTGTGAGCGATGTCTACGATGAAATCGTCTATGTCATAAATAAAGAGAAAGCATAAATATAAAAATAAGAATAACAAGCAAAAAAAATTAAGGAAATCATTGTTTTTGAAGTATGTGATAATTAGATCAATTACTGGTTCCATATGTAGAAAAAATTTCAAATATTTACATAAATGAAATTATGGGTTTTGTAAAGAATTGAAAGGAGAATTTTAAAAAAAATTTGCTTAAATAATTGAAAAAAATGTGCGAATGATTTCAAAAATCTTAAAACGATCATTCTTTATAGGACATCTGTTACCTAAAAAAAAATCATTGGATAAAAAAAACTAAAAGAAAAACATGTAAAAGAAAATAATATTGTACTTGTTTTAACAATTCATTATTTGTACCAAAAGAACTTTCTAATCATGGTTGTACAGTTTCGTAACACTTTACGTTGTTTGTTATAATCAATCAATGTATATTTTATATCAATACGAGTAGAATTTTATTCAATGAGTAAATTAATATATATTATTTATTGTTTAAATGGAATTCAAACGATAATCGTTATAAATAAAATAAATTAAATTTGAATAATCACTCATAATGATGATGACAAACACTATAGAATAATGGTACTGACAATAGATCACAAGATAAAATAAAAAATAGACAATGTTCAATCTCGTCTGTTGAAATTGAAAAATAGGGTTGTGAGAAAAAAAATGAAACGAGTATTTTCAATATAAGACTTATTAAAGATATACATGTGAAGTAGTAGGCGAGAATCAATCGAGCAACAAAAATTCAAAAAAAAACTATTGGTATATACTGAAGCAAATCTTTTAATAGAAAGGACATCTATCATTACTTGTCGCATATAAAATGTCTATTGCTACTTCACAGAGACCGAGCAAGAAAAGTTGTTTCAGAACAGTTTTATCTTTCTTTTATATACAAATATATGAATGTGACAATTATATCAAAATAAATATTCGATATATTTCATAGATTCACGAAAAATAATTTTATCCCGTTTTACTTTTATGCTTACATATCTGACGGATATGTTAGAATATTTGAGTGTACTCAGTACTTTTTGTTTCCTTAATCTTCTTAATACTTTTAGTCCTTTTAGATCCCTTTAGAGTTTAGGTCCTTTTAGTACCTTTAGGGTGTGAATGACTAAAGGTACTAAAGGCAGTTAAAAGGACTAAAGAAACTGAAGGCTCTGATAGGTTTCAAAGCATAAAAGTAAAACGGGATAAATTTTTTTCTTCGTGGATCCCTCATATATCTCGTAGAATAATGTGTTCAAATGATGATCATTTCAATATATCTATCCATTAGTCGATATTCTTGCCTTTATTCTTTCTAGATTCTTGTTTTTCTCAATAATTAATCAAGATTCTTGGTGAATGGGACAAAAATTTTTCGTCAGACAAGATTCTTGTATGTTCGTCTGATTTATTGTTTTTTCTTGAATCTGGCTACGTTTATTAAAACAAAAGAAAAAAAGATAAATGGTAAAAATAATTTATTTACATACAAAATACATGTTCATATAGTATATAGTATGTATGACAATATCTACACTATACCCTTGACCAAAACAAAGCAGGTCGCGCCTTGTCTTCACAGTTATCACTCATACAAGAGAAGTTAACTTCTCTTGTATGAGTAATGAATGCTAAGACAAGATGCGTTCTGT